TATTTATTTTTTTCTTTTAAATAGCATTCAGCTCATAGCAATATTAATATTTCTTGTTCCATATTAACAAATGCATAGAATTCTGTTTATTGGATTTAGATGATAATTTTCCATGTAAACTGAACATACTGTGGCTATTCAATGACAAATGCACAGAAACAGTGAACTTCCCAATTCTAAGGTCATAAATTAATTTATATGCTGAAACAGTGACCCTCTAATCCCCACAGAAATCTAATCCACACATACCAGGCAATAAAAAAAAACTGTGGAATAGTTGTTTTTGATTGTTTGGGTTTTACTTTTTCAAATGTAAAATATTTATAGCACAATTAATGAGAGAAAAATCTATCCCAAATTATGTTATTGCTTAGTCATTTAAAAAAAACTCTACAGATAGTATAGATATAGATATTACAGATATCTATTATATCTATCTACAGATATCACTCTCCAGATAGGTGGAAGGATGAGTGGATAGGTGGATGAATGGCTGGATGGATGGAGAAGATAGATGCTCTTTTTGTCAACTAGATTCTTTTCTTTCAGTATTCTCCAGAACTGGAGTTAGTTTCAAGTCTGCCCATTCAAATCATTAGTGAACTTGTAAGGGTATTGGTGGAGAAATAGGGAGATTTGAGGACCCAGCAATTTCAAAGAAAGAGTTCAATAATGTTCTGATCCTAAGGAGTCACATCATACAGAGAAGGCTTTTCTTCTTCTTCTTCTTCTTCTAAATATCTGTGTCCTGGTAGGGAATTTCCAAGTCCAGCCCTCAATATAGTCATTTATTAATTTGCTGAAAATGAACCAACATGTTTTCTGGATATAAATTCCAAAGGCAAGTGATTGTGATGCAAATTTGAGCAGGGGACATTTCTTCTGTGATTATACTGTATCCTGATGGCCTTAAATATGGCGGCATTCTAACACTTCCTGATCAACTCTGTACCTCAGTCACTCAGTAAGTGAGAGCTTACACATGTTGTTCTCTCCTAGATCTAGCTTATAATTTCTCCTCTTCCTGAAAACTTTCCAAGATTTTTAGTTGGATTTCTCTGATCTTTCCTTTACTCTATAACCCTCACCTTTTAACTTACTTTCACTGATGAGTTGTATTTAAACATTCTAAATTCATTTTCTATTTGCACATTTGTGTCCACCCAAAGGCAGTCTGTTTAATGACAGTATCAGTGTGTTTTAAAACTGCTTTTTAATCCCTCACATCCTCCATCACCCTCTACATTTCCAGAGGCCTCAGGGAAGTAACTAGTAAGCGGGAAAGCTAGAATGAACCACATGGTACTAGATTAGAATTAGAGACATCCATCTGAATTAGTGTTAAGTTTACTGTAGATGGAGATGAAGGGGTAGAATTATAGATATGTGTGTGTGCATGGGTCACTTTACATGTGACTGTTTCATGGCTCTATTCACTGAAGGGGCTTGGAGGCAGTGACAGCCGGTAGCAATGTGCACACCCGTGGCCAGGCACTGGCTTCTAACACCGTCCAGTAGCAGGAGCCAGGGCACCTTGGGGAAACAGCTGATTTAAGGGCAGGAACAGAGAAAATACAAGGCAAGCTTAGGGTATTTAAGGTACTTTCTGGCACTATCAGAGTGACAGAAAGTAAGCAAAGGATCAAAAAATAAAACAATTGGGCCTTGTCATAGGGACACAGCAGCCAGTCTCAAAGAACTCTTAATAACCAAAGCTGAAATAAAACAACAAAGCAACAAAGTACAGGTAACCTTCAGAGATATTCCAAGTTCAACTCCAGACCACGATGATAAAGCAAATACTGCAGTAAATCAGGACCTACACATTTGTTGATCTCCCAGTGCATATAAAAATGATATTTATGCTATACTGTAGTCTATTAAGTGTACAATAGCATTATATCTAAAAACAATTTTATGCCTAAAAGTATTTTAATTTTAAAATACTTTATTGCTGAAAAATGCTAATGATCATCTGAGCCATCAGTGAATTATAATCTTGATTGCTGGTGGATACTTTGAAATATTTCGAGAATTACCAGAATGTAACACAAAGGCAAGAAATGAGAAAATGTTGTTTGAAAAATGGTGCCAGTAGACTTGCTTGAGGCAGAGTTGCCACAAACCTTCAATTTGTTTAAAAAAAAACAAAAAGAAATATGCAAAGCACAATGAAGTGAAGCACAATAAAAATGAAGTATGCCTGTATTGAATTATAACCCAAAGTATTGTTCAGTTGCTAAGTTGTGTCCAACTCTTTAAGACCCCATGGACTGCAGCATGCCAGGCTTCTCTGTCCTTCACTATCTCAGAGTTTGCTCAAATTCATGTCCATTGAGTCAATGATACTATCTAACCATCTCATCCTCTGCTGCCCCCTTCTCCTTTTGCCTTCAGTCTTTCCCAGCACCAGGGTCTTATTCAATGTGTTGGCTCTTTGCATCAGGTGGCCAAAGTATTGGAGCTTCATCTTCAACAACAGCCTTTCCAATAAGTATTCAAGGTTAATTTCCTTTAGAATTGACTGGTTTGATCTCTTGAGGTCCAAGGGACTCTCAAGAGTCATCTGCAGCACCACAGTTCAAAAGCATCAATTCTTTGGCACTCAGCCTTTCTTATGGTCCAGCTCTCACATCTGGTTTGTGACTACTGAAAAAACCATAGCTCTGACTATATACAGACCTTTGTTGGCAAAATGATGTCTCTGCTTTTTAATACTCTGTCTAGGTTTGTCATAGCTTTCCTTCCAAGGAGCAAGCATCTTTTAATTTCATGGCTGCAGTCACCATCCGCAGTGATTTTGGAGCCCAAGAAAATAAAATCTGTCACTGTTTCCACCTTTCCCCCATCTATTTGCCATGAAGTGATGGAACCAGATGCTATATCTTAGTTTTTTGAATGTTGAGTTTTAAGCCAGCTTTTATACTCTCCTCTTTCACCCTAGTCAAAAAACTCTTCAGTTCCTCTTCACTTCCTATCAAAGTATAAAACAAGTAAATATTCATGATTCTATCCCTACTGATTCAAGTAAATGATATAAAAATGAAAATAAATAAATAGGGAAAGTGGGCAAGTGTCCTATGCAAAAGAATTCCAAGTACTTTATGTAGATACACCCCGTCAGGAAGGTAGATCTTGAGTGGACACCCCTTGAGTATGGGCTGCACTTAGTGACTTTCTTCCAAAGAGTGTAGTGGGGGGGCGGGGGATGGAGGGGGGAGAAGGAGGAAAGCAAAACTTGACAGCGTGAGCACTTGGCAACTATTACCGTGGCCAGGTGATCAAGGTTAATGTCATCAGCGACAGCCATGCTGATGGTGTGTATCCTGGATATGATGTAATGAAACTGGCATGTTACTCTGTGATCTTCCTTCCGTAAACCAACAACCCCAGTTTAAACATGAGAAGAATACCATATACGCCCAGTTGAGGGACATCCTGCACAATAACTGACCAGTACTCATTAAAATTGTCAAGCTCATTGAGGAAAGTCTGAGAATTACCTCTTGTCTAAGGAGACAGGACAGATAAAGGTAGTGAGTAGACTGGATAGGACTCTGAAACACTAAGAAAAAAAATCTAATGATATCTTCATAAACTGTGGTAAACAGTTTATGTTAATAGCAATGCAAGATGTTAACAATGGCACTAGCACCTTCCCTGAAGTTTCAGTGGAGAATGGATACATCTGTATGGATGGCTGGGGCAGTTTGCTATGCACCTGAAACCATCACAACATTGTTGATCACCTATACTCCAACATAAAATACAAAGTTTAAAGTTAAAAAATGTGATTAATAAAAAACATTGGGACTAGGCGAGACATATATGAGACCTCTGTAGCTTCTCTGTTAATCTGAAAGTATTCCAGACTTAAACATTTATTTAAAAGAACAGGTGAAGACCAAGTCTTTAGTCCAGGACTGCCTGAGGGGGAAAAAAAAGACTTGTCTTTCACTGTGGTAGTGGCAGAAGCACTGATCTATAAAACAAGGTCTAGGATGACTTTGACTTTTTCTTCCAATTTGAAATCTCTTGTACTAACTGAGATGGCTTTGGATTCCTTGCTACTTCCTCCACAAGCTATTTTCTCTTGCATTCCTGGAAGTCTGAAGTCACACTTTGTTCTTTGTTCTTTTATCCACCCCCGTCATATTTTACTGCGAACCTTATTGTCAAGGTGCAGCTGCCGAGTTTTGTAAGTAGTTTCTGATTTGTTTCTGCTCCTGGCATTCATTCTGGTATTATTTAGGTTCATTAAAGGGAACATTCGGGCTTGGCACTTTGTCACTAAGGTTCAGGTACAACCACATCATTACCAAGCCATCCAAAGTTTGGCAGTGATGATACTGATGATACACCAACGGTCAAGATACCATTACAGTTATATCACATTTGATCACAAATTAAATCATACGAGTAATCTTCGTGCCACTCCCTATTTACAGCTTAGAAAGTTTGCTCTTCTATGAAATCTGATAGCTTCAATTATTATGTGTCTTTCATAAAAAGGTAAAAAAAAGTGGACCTCTTTCTGAATATGTCACCGTTTAAGTAACAATGGTTTTAATTTTGGAAGTAATCTGGATAATGAATGTAAAAAGCTAGTAAGTATACCGTGTATAAGCATAGAGTTATGAACTTAAAATTATAATCATCAGCTTATTGCTAGATAGCTAGGGTTTAGTGAAGGAGCAATGAACTGGCACATAAAACAGCGATACCCTATATATAGCCCTCTAAATGTTTTTTTGATATTTGATATCTCTATTGAGACAGGTAAGGAGGAATTTGCAATTTGAGACTATTGTTTAATATTTATTTCACCAGTCAAGAAAGCAAACAACCAACAGCTTTTTTCCTTTCTCTTTTTTAATGAAACGCTCCTGGGGCCTCTTTTCCTCTGCGGTTTAAACTGGATGGACTCAGGGCAGGATCCTTCCATCAGTGTGAAAGTGTGGATTGTTTTCTTTAAACAGTGTCCTCTTTGTTGTTCCCAGACAATCGTTAGAGGGAACAAGCCCTGCAAGGAGACCTCCATCAACGGCCTGCTGGAGGATTTTGACAGCATCTCCGTGACCCGCTCCAACTCCCTGAGGAGGGAAAGCCCGCCCGCCCCGGACCAGGTCGCCTCCAGCCGGGGTCCGGGCCATCGGGAAGAAAACGGCTTTCTCACCTTCTCGCAGTATTCCAGCGAATCTGACAGCACTGCAGACCACGCGTCCGAAAAGTACAGAGAAAAGAGTCTCTATGGAGATGACCTGGACCCGTTTTATAAAGGCAGCCACGCTGCCAGGCAAAATGGGCACGTGCTGAAGATGCAACACGGCGAGGCCTATTATCCTGAGATGAAGCCTTTGCAGTCCGACAGAGCCAGATTTCCTGCAGACTATCATGCACACTCGGACGCACTGAGCAAACCCAGCGAGTACAGTGACCTCAAGTGGGGCTTCCAGAGAGCCTCGGGCAGCTCCCCTCTGGATTATCCGTTCCAGTTCACACCTTCTAGAACCGCAGGGACCAGTGGGTGCTCAAAGGAGAGCCTGGCGTACAGCGAAAGTGAATGGGGACCCAGCCTGGATGACTATGACAGGAGGCCAAAGTCATCGTACCTGTGTCAGACGAGCCCTCAGCCTGCCATGCGGCAGAGGTCCCGCTCAGGCTCCGGGCTCCAGGAGCCCATGATGCCCTTCGGAGAAAGTGCATTTAAAACCCCCCAAGGACATTCCTACAGCTCCTACACGTACCCGCGCCTGTCTGAGCCTGCAGTGTGCGTTCCAAAGGTAACGTTCACGGCCTCCCTCCTCCAGCATGCAGGCCCTAGCAAGGTGTGCTCCCACCACCCTCTTAGCTGGATTCCAGAGCGCTGGTTAGTCTGTAAGTGAGAATCGGTATCGAAACTCCACCTGGTTTCCATCCACCCCGCCCAGGGCAGAGAATTTAGGACAAGGCACATTTATTCATTAAAATCAAATCCTCTGGGGAGTTCCTACAGGCTTTCTGGGTTAAAGGGCAAAAGAAAATTTTTTTCAAAAGATATTTTGATATATTAGTGATAAATGTCATGTGCTTGTACGGCCCTATGTCTTGTGTTAAGGAGTATAGAGTTATAGACTGTTAGAGGGAATAATACAGTAGTTCCTCCACTCTGGTAAAGGTTACCCAGAACTGCCAACAAGGGGAAAAACGCGTCAGGATAATGTGGTAAGTTTTTAATAAAGTTAAAACTTTATTAAAATTATTAAAAATTGTATTCAATTCAAGGGATTATCAGTATCTTGAGAGTATGTTCTTTCTACTAGTTTAGTGTTGACACATTGTTTGTGTGTGTGCAACTTCAGGATGATAGATGGAATCTGGTTGCTTGGCCTTCCTTGGTGTGCTTTTTATTTTGTTTTCATTATTGTAATTTCTGTTTTAATATTTTTTTCTTAATGTTAACTGTTGCAAATTTGCTTTGAAATGTGGCTGGGCCATGATATCCCAAAGTTTGGGAACCACTGTTGGAGGAGTTACTGGCTTTGCAAAATACCTTGGAAAGTGTGCCAGCAGTTTATTTTCCCATAGTTAACTTAGAAATGTTTTTGCTACCTCCCTGCTACAACTAAGTGAAGATGGGCCATTTGGCTGTAAGCTCTAGATAACAGGGGTCTCAGGCCAGTTGAGGGAGACTTGGCTTCTAGAAGCATGATCATGGACGTTTGGAACCCAACACTGTCTCTTCAACAGCTTGGTGAGCTGTACAGTGAATCTTGGAGGGCAGGGCTGCCTGCATCGTCTGATTGATTATCAATGCCCAGTATTTTTCTTTGTTTATTATTTCTCATAAACATAATCCAAGATGTTGAAGTCTGTTAGGGACATGTTGAGAGTGACTTAAGCCATACTTTAGAAAAAGCAAAATAACTAATACTTTAGTTCCCAATATATTTAAAAATACAGCCTAAAGAAATAAAGACCTGAAATATATACTGTCAATTAAAATTTAAATATTGAGAATGCTTTCCATCTCACTGTTATTTATTTGAACTCCCATGACGAAGGTATCATGACTGCCTTTTGCAATGTTCTCCCCAGGGCAATGGTTGGAAAGAGCTCTGTCTAACTAACCAAAGGGCAAAAGCTCTGGGAAGCCATATGCACGTGTCTTGATGCATGAGGTCATTTATGTAGTTTCCTGTGCACATCACCCAGCCCAAGGTTGTAGAGCATCACAGTTGTATAATGAACTAAGCAAATAAACACATTCTGTAGCTGAATCCAGTTACATTCTCTAGTTTGTGAACATCAGTGCTTACTTTAGGAATACATAATGTGATTTCTTTCAGCTTTACCAAGTTTATAATTGACAAAATTTTAAGATATTTGAAGTGTACAAGATGATGATATGATTTACATATACACTGTGAAGGGATTTCCCTCGCTGAGTTAAGACATTCATCACCTCACATATTTACCTTTTGCTTATGTATGAGAAATTTAGTTTCTACTCTTTCAGCAGATTTCAATTCTACAATATAGTACGATCAACTACAATCACCATGTGATACAATCCATCCTCACACCTTAGAGCTGAAAGTTTGTATCCTTTAACCAACTTCCTTTTCTCCACCTTCTAGACCCTGGCAACTACTTTTCTGTTCTCTGTTTCCATGAGTTTGACTTCTTCCTTTGTTTTCTAAAATCCCGCATATAAATGATAACATTTGCAGTGGTTGCCATTCTCTGTATGGCTTATTCCACTTAGCATAATGCCCTTCAGTTTCTTCCATGTTATTGCAGATGGCAAGGTTCAAGATTGCCTTCTCCTGTAAGGCTGAAGAATATTTCTTTTTATATACATTTCTTTGAATCATATTTTCTTGATCCATTCATTTGTCGATGGACACACAGATTGTTGTCTATGCTGATAATGTGGCAATGGGCATGGGAGTACAGATATCTTTTCCAGATAATGATTTTGTTTCCTTTGGATATATACCTGGAGGTAGGATTGCTATATCACGTAGTAGTTCTACTTTTAATTTTTTGTACACTTCCTCACTGTTTTCCATTGTGACTGTCCCAGTGCACATGTCCACCAACAGTACACAAGAGTCCTCCTTTCTCCACATCCTTGTCAGTGGCGCTAATGGCAAAGAACTCTCCTGCCAATGCAGGTGAGATAAAGAGAGGCAGGTTTGATCCCTGGGTCGGGAAGATCCCCTGGAGAAGGAAATGGCAACCCACTCCAGTATTCTTGCCTGGAGACTCCCTTGGACAGAGGAACCTGGGGTGCTACAGTCCATAGGGCCATAAAGAGTTGGACATGACTGAAACGACTTAGCACACACACCTCTTTAAGAATAGCTATCCTAACAGGTTGAGGTAGTATCGTATTGTGCTTTTAATTTGCATTCTCCTGATGATTAGTGATGTTGAGCACCTTTTTATATAACTGTTGGCCATTTGCATGTTTCTTCAGAAAACTGTCTATTCAAGTCCTTTGCCCATTTTAAAATTATGGTATATGGTAATATGGTATTTTTGCTATTGAATTTCTTGCTATGAGTTCCAAGTATACTTGATATTAACTCCTTATCAAATATGTGATTTGAAAATATTTTCTCCTGTTCTGTAGGTTACTTTTTCATTTTTTTTGGTGGTTTTTTTACTGTACAACTGAAGGTATCACATTTCCTCATTGCAAACTACATCACAAAGTTATAGTAATCAAAACAGGATGGTTTTGGCATAAAAGACACTTAGACCAGTGGAACAGAATACGCAACCCAGAGATAAACCCCACACACATATAGCCAGTTACTGAAAGAGGAGCCAAGAAGGTACAATGGGGAAAGCGTAGTCTCCTCAATAAATAGCGTTGGGAAAACTGGACAGCTGTGTGTAGAAGAATGAAACTGGACTCCCATCTTAAACCAACGGAACAGAATAACAGAATACAGAATACAAAGAAACTGCATCCCTATCTTAAACCAATGGAACAGAGAATTCCAGCTTTCCATGGAATTCTCCAGGCCAGAATACTGGAGTGTGTAGCCTTTCCCTTCTCCCAACCCAGGCATCGAACTGGGGTCTCCTGCATTGCAGGCAGATTCTTTACCAACTGAGCTATCAGGGAAGCCCTTCTTTGCTCAGCAGAAATTTTTTAGTCTAACTGAGTCCTACTTGTTTATTTTTGCTTTTGTTGCCTTTGCTTTTAGTGTCGTCTAGAAAAGTCATTGCAAAGAACAATCTCAAAGAGCTTTCTTCTAGAAACTTTATGGTTTCAAGTCTTTAATCCATTTGAGCTGAATTTTGTGTATGATTGGTTTAAGATAGGAGTCCAGTTTCATTCTTCTACACACAGCTGTCCAGTTTTCCCAACGCTATTTATTGAGGAGACTACCCTTTCCCCATTGGACGTCCTTGGGTCCTTTTTCAATAATTGACTACATTTGTGGGGTTTATTTCTGGGCTGTGTATTCTGTTCCACTGATCTAAGTATGTTTTATGCCAAAAACCGTCCTGTTTTGATTACTATAACTTTGTAATATAGTTTACAATGAGGAAATATGATACCTCCAGTTGTATGCTTTTTCCTCAGAATTGTTTTGGCAACACATGGTTGAATATGATTTTGTCTGTGCAGTATACTTGAATGCTTGTGTTGAGAGTGGTTTTAGGTCATTGTCATTGAGAAACTGTGTTCCGAGACTTTAACCTTTCAGTCATGGAGCTGTATTTGGCCCATTAACATATTTAGTCATCTAGCAGTCATTTTCAACATCTGAAAAATCAAGATGTTTCACTTAGAATTCTCAGCTTTTGAGCCTCAGGTTTCTCTTATGAAAAGTGGAACCGTTTGTTGTCCCTGGGCCCACGTTTCCACACAGCATTGGAAACAGAACGGTCTGGAGGCAAAGGCTTGCCCCATTAGAAAAGACAGGCTCTGCCTAGCACCCTTCACTCATTTTTCCCACTAGCCTAATCCCTTGAGGCATTTGAGATTTAATATGACCACCAACATCCCCTGCCTACTCATTTCACAGAAGGGGAAACTGTGGTCCAGAAAGTCACATAGCATACTTAGGGTTTCACAGCTGGTGGCAAAACAAGAACAAGAGTCCATGCCTGCAGTTCCTCCCAACTCAACATTCTTCCCATCATATTGGCGTATGTAATTTTAGGGGTTCAACTGCACTGGCCAGTAAGACCCACAAGAGGTCCTGGTGGCCACCAGAACGTTAGCTTAACTGGAGGAATAGAGAGAGGATGGAGCGAAGGATCAAGGCAGGGAGGGAGAAGGAGGCAGGGAGGGCATCAACTGCCCCATCCTTACCGTGCCCTCTTCTTGTAGACTCCCAAACATAAGGCAGAACAGAGCTGCCCTGACATCTGGTTTTCTCAAACCCAGAAACAATGCAGAGACTATTATGGCTCAGAAAAAAAGCATATAACACTCCTACCAAGTCATTTTCACCTCTTATAATCAGAACTCCAAGCTGCTGTTCCATGTTTCATAGGAGATCTGTGAGAAATTCATGAGCAGGTCTTGTGGGAGGGTAGGAGGTGGGAGGCCTGTTAGTAATTAAAATGTTTGCTTAAAAATATAACATCTTTCTATAAAGACCAATACAGTATATTAACACATATATATGGAATTTAGAAAGATGATAACGATAACCCTATATGCAAAACAGAAAAAGAGACACAGATGTACAGAACAGACTTTTAGACTCTGTGGGAGAAGGCGAGGGTGGGATGTTTCAAGAGAACAGCATTGAAACATGTACATTATCTG